GTACAGTACAAAGCACAGAACTTTAGCTGTGGTTTAGAGAAAAAAACCTGGCTCCATTGTGTTCACCAGATAGTTGCTAATGTTGTCAGTCTGCCCTTCGGTGCTGTACAGTGGGTTTATTTTAAGCTTTAACCATGGAAAAACATGAGAGTGAACCAGAACATAAAATTTTTGGCTGGATAATAATTATGGCCTTGTCTCTGTTAGTAGCATCTTCGACAATATGCATATTGTACACATGTAAATGTTTGGGAACCCCTGAGCAAAACACATTTGTACTGTAGTTGATTTTTCTAGTGAAATGAAGTAAAAGTAACATAAATTAAGAAATGAGTCTTCAAATGTGTAATATTTGAAGAAAGGCTCATTTTGCTGCAGTGAGTGTGTTTACTTATGTTAGCTTCAAATATCCACAACATGTCATTTGTCCAGTTGTGGCAAATTACATGGTTGAGGTACATTTTTATAAAGCCAAAATGACTTTCGATATGTCTTTGTTCTACTTTTACAGCATGTATCCACTCCACCATATTTTCCTGGCACAAGTTCCCAAAGAAACATTAGTCATGCTTCAGTTTCCAGAAGTTAATATTTTGCAGATATGTTCAATAAAAGTGTTTTCTCATTGTTGATTTAAAAAAGATGTTGTTCAGCATATCTTTGGTTTAGTTCGTCACTGTTGCCCTCTCTCCTTTGCTCTTCTTTACCCTGTCCCAGGTTGTTATTCTGGTTCTTAAAAGACCACCTGGATGCAAAAACCTCCTGCTCTCTGCAAAACAAATGGGAAAACAATGATCTGCCACACACCTAGTCAGGCCTGACACTCTCACACTGTCTTCCTTCTCTCTCACATATTGGAAGTTGTTGCTCACTCACAGCTTTCTCAGCAGCTCTGTTGTCCGTCAACAAAGGCCCACACAATAGCGGCACACACCGCCGACCCCAGTGACTCATACTCTGGCTGACTGACCGCACGACATGCCTCACCACTACTTCTGCATCACACACAGATTGAGCCTGCATGATGGATTACACAATGGCTTATGATGGATTAAGACTGACATTCACGTTAAAAACACAGGCAGACTGTGGCTCATAGTATGATGGTTTGCTGGTCTTAGATCAGAGCTGATTCAGTCTGATACTCACCCTCAGTAGTTTATATAAGACAAGTTGTCTCACTGTGTACTCTCATGAAAACAGAAAACAGTTGGAGATGTCACTGTTTGCTTCTTTTGAGTGTGACTCAAATTGTGTTGCTATGGTAATGTTGTCCATCCCCCCTTCACGTCCTTTTCTCTCCCATTGCTCTTCATCTTTTTCATTCTTGGTCAGTTCATTATGGATAGAGAGATTTGTTATTGGCTAACCTAATTGGACCAGAATGTGTTTCGCTATTTAAATGCAGTGTCTCATTTTCAGTCAAGCTTCAGCTTTCTATTCAAAATTCATTTATGCATAAGTGGATGACTGAATGAATCCAAATATCACTGTCTGCCTGAAAACAGAGGAGGTGGTGGATGATATAGTGCAGGACAGTTTGGCTGTAAACTGACAATATGTTTGCATGTGACTACAAAACTAGAGACTGTGTCAGATTTATGATTCAGAGATGGCACCAGACTACAGCATACTAACTCTTTGTATCTCTCTCTTGCATGCACGCAGCTTCTTAACCAGACTGAGGCAGATGATTTCAGGCTCCATGGGCATAACTGTGACAGAGTGATTTAAAGTCACATTTATACACACACCTGCAGACACACTCATAACTTTCCCTGCACCAGCAGCAGCACGTTCCCACCTCTCTTGTCTCCTTTGCTTTCACAGCAAAGTGACTCTACAGCATGCCGGTCTTAATCTTTTACAGCCATCTATGACTGCTGTCCTGTAGTTTTGCTCCAACAGGTAACAGTCAAAATATAGAAGTATAACATCAAGGTATTATGAGAGCTTCATTTATACTTCATATGTTGTCATATTGTGATTTTGATGCACCTCAGACTAGGTAGATACAGATGGGTAACAAATTAAAGGAAAAATCTGAATTAATAAGTTGACATACATAAATTCAGATGCGGCCTTACACATATATCATAATACAATTAAACAAATATACAGTAGTAACATAATAACAACATCCTTTTATGGAAGCCACTGGGTGATTTTAGACAGGGTCCTCCACACCTTCATCCAGACGCCAGTGAATGGCGTTCGTATTCCATTAGAGTTTAGAGATATGTTGAATCCATGCCGAGGAACGCTGAGGCTGCTCTGGAAGTTCGTTGGTGTTTTTGTTTTACTCCACCAATATTAACATCAAAGTCAAGTAGAGGTCTTATGGAGTTTAAAAAAAAAGGTGGAGAAAGCCTTTAATGGTTCCAGCGTGAGCTCCACAAAACTTGATATTGTTTGGGTGTGAAGAATGCAAGTCTGAAGATGTAAAAATTGTGAGTGTGTTAGCCGTTGAATCTTATTGTTTGTAGTGCAGTTTTTGATGAGGAAGAAGAATGAGTGAACAGAAAAGACAGTATGGCTGTTCCTGCTGCATTGATTTTGATTATCTGTCGTGAGTCTGACAGTTTTATTGGAGCGCAGTGCAAAATCAGCAGTGTGTGCTTTTAATATGTCTCCCATCTGCCATGTGTGTATATCAATCTTTCCAACAGAAGTCACTGAAATAAACTAGTATGCAAAGAAGCCACAAGTTGCTGTGTTGAGTAGAAGATACAGTATAATTCTCCCTTTGTCAGGCCTCGTGTTTCACTATCGTAAACCCCATGGCTAAAATATAGGTTCTTGTGTGTGGTGGGTTTGTCCAACGTCATTCTTTGGACTTAAATTAGTACGTACATTATTGACTGTCCCAAAAGTCAGATAAGCTTGGCTGAGAGAAAGCCAAGGCACCTCTAGACAAAATAACAGCGCACACTGGAATACAACAGATATATCACAGTGTTAGAGCATCCACAGATGTTTCTATCCTCCTCTCCCCCTTGTTGTTGTATGTGCTCCTCAAGGCTTTGTACCAGGACTCTTAATGTGGCCTTTACTGGTAATAAATATGTGTCTGGTTGCTGGAGTATAGGATAAAGAGCAGCTCTCCTATTTAACCTTTTTTATAGTACAAATGCTTTTGAGCAACATGCCCTTTTTGTGGCATTTATTTATAACTGTGTTATAAAGCACAGTGGCTGCAAGAGACTTCTAGCTTTATGGGAAGATTAGATTGCTTTTTCCTAGTGGGTTTTTAATTCTGTTAGCATTAAATCGTTTAGTCGACTCTACTACCTGTAAATCTGGAGTTAGAGGGAAAGTTTTCCTGACTCCACACAGTTATTCACTTATTCATAATTCAGAGTAGATTCAGAAGAAGGAGAAACCTGAATGACAGTAAAGTAGCATATGTGAAAAAATGAGAAACTGATGAATTATTAATAAATGTGATAAGATATATGGAGACTGAGGATAATAACCACCGAGGGAAAGTCACCGAAACGAGGCAGGTAAGTAAGGTTATGTCGCTTTTTCCACAATATGTAGTTTACAACATTACACACTCTAACTAAAAGTGAATCATTGCCATTTGAACGGTTGCTGGTGGAAAAGAGCTGCTGGTGATGTGATGAATCATGAATCAAAAGCTAAGAATATGTTCACGAGTAAAGCTTGACTAGTGCAAGTGATTCAGCTTTTGATTGAGAAAGAGAAGCAATAAAGACAGAGTGGATTTGAGAGACCGCAGGTTAAGGAGGAAATGAAATGAAAGACGATTGCAGGTGGGCTTGAGAGCATAACTATCGGAGACAAAGAAAAGGAAATCAGTCAAATATACTGCATTTACAGCCCCTTTACTTTATTTATCTTGCTCTTTTTCTCCTCTCTCACCCTTCCCCCTTCTCTTCTGTCCATCATCTTCTGAGAGCTGTATCAACGCATGGCATTAAGCCACTTCCAGCTCTCCATCCAGAGATAATGCCTTTCCCTTAAATATTTCAATACACTCTACTCTGTTCTGCAAGGCTGAGTACTAGCTTGTCCTCAGCTGGCGCCCACAGAGGTGCACTGCCACCGATAAAATCCTACCGAGGGTTTGATGGCTCAGTGCTAGAAACAACTGCTGAAGACGCACATCAAAAAAGAGGGCGACATAAAGGAGCAAGTGGGAGTGCTGCAAGATGGGGATATAGATTATAGATCGAGATTTGAGAGGCATCACATAACCGGTGCGTGCGGTGTGACCGTGCATTTTTACTTTTATATCCGTGTGCTGTGATTTATGCACTTCCTGCACAGATATAGCGTGATGGCTGATGCAACCTGGAGCAAACTTCTTTGGCAGATGTGGCTCAGCTCTGTAAAATCTACTCTGACAAGGCGAAGCGCATGCACAGGCATGAAAGTCTGTGAGCAAACCCAATCCACACATGACTATAACACCTGAAAAATCCACTTCCCACTTTACGGGCTGTTATGTAAGACAATAACCCTTGTGCGTCTCTGTGTGTGTGTGTGCGCTCCTTTGTGAAAAACACATCCAGTCTTCCTGCTGCTTCACTCGCAGCAGAAGCAGCGAGTGAAGCCTTTATGGTTTAATAACTCCAGTTCTTTATTATGATCCATGCTCATCCATTTCTTCTCCAGCCTCTCTCCATCCCTCCATCACCCTATCGGGCCTGTCATCATATTTCATGGCAGCAGCCATCATGTTGCTCGACCTGGAGGAAATTAAAAATCTTTGTTGCTTTGTCACTTTCCTCTGTAGGTAGGAGGATGTCAATAAAGTCCAGTGTTATGGCCTGACACATGCACATGCAGTGACATACTGTACTCAAGAAAAAAAGAATCCACACCTGCTGTGGTATAGGCTACAGTATACACAGTGTATTCATTAACCTGGGGATCACTGAGTGGTCTGTGTGCCAACTATGATATGTCTGGTATCTTAAATTTAATAAAGACAAATATTGATGTACTTTTTGCTTTTATATGTTTTCTAGTTGCAGAACCAGTAATCGGAAAAGCCTCATCCTGACCAGTACATCCCCCACCCTGCCACGGCCACACTCTCCGCTGCCTGGACACTTAGGTCAGTATACTGAATTCAAAGACGTGATCTAGTGAAGATTAAACAGAAAATTGGACTCTTTAGGTTTTTTGTTTAATTGTTAACTTAAAAAATATAAAATGGGTAACATAGGGGATTAAAACACTGATCATACAAAAAGCAAACTTGCAGTTTAACTGCTCTATTTATCTATTGATTGTATTTACTCACTGGGACTCTGGTGTTATTTTCAACACCTTTTTTCACTTTTTATTGTGAAATTTCCTTAGGTTTGTTTTTCTCATGATGGGGATGTGAAACCTGAGTAAAAGTCAGTTGAGACTACTACTTTAATTCAATTCATATTTTCTGTGAGGCCTATCAAAACAGAAAAATCAAACCAAAAACATCAGCTGTTACTGACTACATTTATTTGTGTATAGGTATCCTGGTTTTGAGTCTTAACCTCGTTTTGATATGGAACATGGTGTTTATATGGAACATACTCAAACCTGATTATTCATGTCCCTGTTTACATTATTCTAACAGTATCCAGGGTTATAACTGTCTGTCTGCAGTTGAGTTTTTATGTCAGTGTTTACTGTACAAACAGAGAATGTTCTCAGTATTCTGGTTTCTTTTGGAGTATTTGAAGTAAAATAGCTTGGTTTCACAAAACCAGGATATGATGTTGAGATGCTTATCAGGTATTGTACCGAGGACACTTGGAAACACCCAATCGTACCCAGGATACTAGTGTGCATGTAAATATACTCACCGTATTAAAAGCTCTTTAAATATGCAAATGTGCTGTAGCTAATGATACAAGAGCTCCCAATTTTTATAGGTCATATCAAAGAAACATGCTTTCCTGTGAGTTTTAGTCAGGAATACTGACCCTCACCTCATCTCAGCTCTCAGCACGGTCTGAGGCAACCCAACCTGGGGTATCATGTTAAAAAAAAAGGAAGTGCACTACGTAGGGGTGCTGTGGTCTAAACATGTTTTGGCATCACTGATCAAGAGTTCAGCAGAACTAGACTTTCAGCTGGTGTTAAGTTGCTGTTAATCTTTAATACTGCAGGATTGGATAAAGGGTAAATTATACCATTAGTGTAGCTGTCTTGACTTTACAGGTGTCACACTTAATATATACACAGAGAGTTATTGTTTTTATTATAACCAGAATTATGTGTTTTCTGTTAATGACTGAAATACAAAGATGAAAATTTGACATCCCGCTCTTGTTTTGGTCTCCATGCCTGTTAATAAGAATACAGTATTTCCTTCAAAGTGAGGGTGACTAAATGAAATGGGAATGAATATAGTTCCCTAAAACAAAATGCATACAGGTTCATTTATCCTACATAATAAGCCAGTATATGTTTTTCTCCTCCTCTGTTCATATGTATTCCAACAGGAAGCAGTCCGTTGGACAGCCCACGCAACTTCTCACCAAGTGGACCTGCCCACTTTTCCTTCGCCTCTTCTCGAAGGTTGGCATCCCTCCACTAGTCACATGACAAGTCACACATGCAGCATCACAAGAACTGTGCAAAGTAGTTGAGTGAAACTGTTGATAAGATTATTTTTACTCACACACACACACACACACACACACACACACAGAGATTTGTCAGGGAACACACACATGCAAAACGAAACTGCATGTTGTTGCCCCATCTTTGTCCTGCTCTGCTTCCACTAAGTGTCTGTGCAGTGTCCAAGTGTATGTGACTGAGCTGTGAAAGCAGGCTGAGCTGAATGAGCCAAGGTGTGTTTTTTTTTTTTGCCCTGAAGTGTGTCCCTCATCACTCACTCAGAGGAAGTGTCAGACCTGGGGATGGCTGAAGAAGGCCTGAGGGAAGAGAGGAATAAAAGAACCACTGATGTAATTGTATAGATCGAAAGAGGGGAAGGCTGTGGAACTGCTTCGATATAACTGTGTTGTTTGCAGAAACTAAAATAGAAACTGATATTGATGCTCTGGCTCTGGAAAGTGATAGAGAAAACCAGTGTGCAGTCTTTATGAATCTAGCATATGCTCTCTGTTTTTCCACTTTTATTTTTCATTTCTTTTCTCAGGGCCGATGGTCGTAGATGGTCCTTGGCTTCTCTGCCTTCCTCAGGATATGGCACCAATACACCAAGTTCAACGGTAAGTTTAAGAGGAAGAGGAAAGCCCCTGTAGCTCCTATGCAGTTGTTTAAGTTAAAATTGATATATCAGCATTTTTCATCTTGTCTTTTTGAGGACAGGCAGCACTGGTCCAACTTTTTTTCTCCTTATACCAATTCCAGTAGCTCAGCCATCTGATTTCCTCAGCTGTCCTATACTGATTTCCAAATTGATATCATTGTTTTGTTACACTGTTAAGCTCGCCACTGTGTGGAACTCATTGCAGTAACTTTTATGAAAGATGATGTGAGGTCAGCATGCGTGACCTTGCGCTGCACTCAGCTCGGCACAGCACATAGAAATGAATGTGTTCAGTAGTGGAGCGTGGCAGCCATTGCATCCTGTCTGAAAACGGCTTTAGTCCCACCCATGTAAGAGAGGAGAGGGGAACCGAGGAAACATATTTTCACTGGCATGAGACGTCCTTTCCATCAGTCCTCATGTGAAACATCCAGTCACAAACTGATCTCCAATAAAGGGGAGTGTCAATCCATAACAGACTTCCATGAAGGATGCACTCATGTATCCTTGGTTATAGCTCCTTCAGGCAGCCTCCTCCGTCCTTGCTCCTCAGAACAGAAATAAGAGTTTTAGGATGTCCTTCTTCATGGTGAACTGGAATGACTTCCAGGCTGAGCGAGGATTGAAAACCAAAGAAGAGTAAAATAAGGGAATTTGGGTTCACCTCTGGTTTTACTGGTGAATTTCTGCGTTTCTTGGCACATTGCCGCCACCTGCAGTGAATCATTATGTGCTGTACAATTAGATTGTACAGAGAGGTCATTGCTTCTGATTGTCAGGCCAGTGCTTTGCATTGGCAGCTCCATCGCCATCACTGCTGAGTGTGTGTATATGTGAATCGGTGGTTAAGAGGCAAATTGTAAAGAGTTTTGGGGTACTAAGGTTGAAAGCAGTTCTTTTGCCATTCATACCCAAGAAAAGTCTCCCGAATCAGTATATCTCCATGATGCAGCTGCAGTTCTGGTCGAAGAGCGACTTCCTTATTAATCGCAAGGTTGAGGACTCAACTCCTGTGTCCTTGAGCAAGTTCTTCCTAATGTACATGTGTGTGGAGAAAATCTGAATCGCTTTGGACAAAAACATTTTGCAACATGATTGCCTCTCCACGGATGTGACTACAGTAGCTGAAACTTTCCTGCATCTGTTGTACAGTGTATCATTAATGCAAGAGCCACTGCACCTTGTCCCCTTTCAAATGTAGGACAGAGCTGACTAAGTGTGTCACTGTAACACAAAACCTGTGGCTATCAAACTACACACCACAGTTCAGCTGCAGTCTCCTGAAAACGAGAGGCTTCTGCTGATGATTATACTGTTTTCTCAAAGAAATGTTTCCCCTCTTCATAGTGTGATGAATGAAGAGTCATATATTCTTTCATTTCCAGTTTTGCCAGAGAAACAGGGGGAAGACATAAGGGAGGGAGCAGCATGGGATCTGCTTTGTCTTCTTTTGCTAATTTAGCTGCATAAATCATGAAATCAACAGAAATTCTTCCACAGCTAAATTGATGAAGTGGGTTTTATATGATTTGCATGAATATATAACACACTCAAAGAATTTATTTGCATCTATTTTCATGCATTAAACTGCAAGTGCTCCTTGTAAATTCATGCTCTGAAGTTGCATGTTCTGCTTTTGTTTCATTTTGCTTTGAAGTGATTACACCCCACGCTTGCAGCTAAATACCATGTGTACACAAAGACACACATGCCTCTGTTCTTTGTACCTGCTGCTGTGAGTCTTAGCTGATTATCAAAAAGCATTTTAGAGTTGAAGAACATGCACCACAGGTAAACCAGAACTAAAAATAAGTCATCAGTTGCTAAGATATAAGCAACTTGAATTATCTGTAGATGATGACTTGGCTTTTCGGAGAAAAGTGGAGCAGGGTTAATTGATATGAAATTTAATCAAACTGTATTTGTGCCTTGCAGTCGCAAACTGTTCCAGAGACTATTGCTCTATCCATCACTTACCCAGAGAACCAGAGATGGATGATAAAGAACAGCAACAGAAACAAATAAAAGGGTATTGTAGATGGAAGGGAAGCATGTTTGGAAGCAAACAGAGACAACGGCAATGTTCACTTTTGTCTGAGTGAAAGATATTTGGAGGATAAGAGACTCCTCAGCGAAATGAACACTGCCATGGCCCATTTGGTAAATAGTCCATTTGAGAAATGGACCTTAATGTGTATGATGCTAAGGTGGAGGCAAGGTGTTGACTCATAATCCACTCCCTGTATACGTCTGTGCCTCCTGAAGACAATTCCTCTGCATCTTTGCTGCTTTTCACACATCATTTCTTCCACTGTCTCTCCTGCACGTTACAGCAGCACATCTAGTAGACACACACTGTAGGCGGCTGATTCACCTCTTTTTAGTGGTAGATGAGGTTGAAGATGCGTTCTCAGGTTCCTTGTATTCCTCCATCACCCCTCTTACCCATTCATCCTGTCAGATTTCAGTGCTCTACATGTGCCAGTACTCGCTTGATTAGTTACAGCAGGGCTCTTGCATACTGAAGAGAGCAGATGAAGGGAGGAGATGTGTGTTTGTGTGAAGGAGTTTTGTATATGAAAGGGTAGATAAAAGTTAAATTTATGCAGGAATAGTCGGAGATGTAAACAGACGTTAAAAGATAGAAGAGGTTCCAAGGAGGAAACCTTACAAGCGAAGAAAACTGGGGATTGTTGATACATTCCAGTTCTGGTCTCTGTTTACTGTAAATCTGTTAGGTAGTGGTCACTGCAGCTGAAAGAGATGCTTTGACACTGCAGATTGAAACCAGGACAAAAACAACTGTTATGTTACTCCAAAGTTCAGAATTTATTAGTTTCAATTCACCATCTTGTTACAGTCAGCCGATGTGTTAACTGCAGGTCCAATAAACAAAGGAGGCACAGACAGCTTTCATTAGTCTCTTCATTGTCATTTCCCCTTTTCACCTGTATCAGGAATCATATTATACTCTGGAAGAGAAGGAGAGACTGTTGTCTTTGAACAGTAAACACATTTTCTATTGGTGTCATTTTCATTAATGTGACACTGAAAGTCTCTGTGCATCAGAATGATATGAAACAGCCGATTTCATATTTACATCACTTATACTCAAAAAAACTTCAAAACCTCAAGCCCAAAGATGTTCTACAGATTGTAAAACTCTCCTCATAACAATGAATTTACAAACAAAAATACATTACAAATACAGAATGCAGTTTGAATGAGTTTTAAACTCCAAGGCATGGAAGCTCAGGACAGGTGAACCAGCTGTTCCATTGTCACTAGAAAACTGACTTTTAGTGGCAGTTCAGAGGAAAGGAAATCTCATTTCTGTTAAAATGTCGTTCTTCAATGTTTCAGTGGTAGGATGCAAGCAAAGAAAATCTGGGCGCAATCAAGTGAATTGAGGTGCAACCTGTGACTGCGGGAAACCAATACAAACGCTTTTTCATCTGTGATAACCATCACGTCCGATGGCATTTTCTTCCATCTCTGAGCTGTTTCTGTCTCTAGGGAGCTTCTTAATTGATTCGATTGACTGGACTTGCTGCATTCACAGCGTTGTCGTTTCACTGTCTCTCTGCAGCTTGCCATGTGGCTAAGACCTGAATGGAGCTTCAAATGGATTTTTATAGCAGAAATCATTATGTGGCCAAAGCCAACCTTGGTGCCCCGTTGGGAGATGTGTTCATTTAGCCTCCCATTGATCCAGCCTGTTTTTTTACCTCCTCTGCTGAAGAAAGGTCTTTTGTCTAAGACCAAATAGCACTGCCATTAACCCCCCAAGGCAGCAGAACCTAAGGCAACTTTTACTTGCAGTGACTCCTTCATTCCCTGCAGTATTTTTACTCAGTGTTTCAGTCCTCATTTTTCTGTTGTTGTCCTCCTACACTAACTCCTTCTGGATATTTTCTGTGTTTCACCACCTCTCTCTTTTTCTTTCTTGTTCTTTTAACTGTGTCGCTTCTTTGTCTCAGTTCTTTCCACCCACTCACATCATAGTACACCTTGTGTTCTCTTCTCTTCTCTTCTCTTCTCTTCTCTTCTCTTCTCTCACTTGTCATCGATTAAGGTGCTCTTACCATTTGTTGTTTGATGTCATCTTCTCCATCACCAGGTATCTATTTTTGAACTATTGATGTGGAAGCTGCAGCAGAGGGTTCTCTAATGAAGAGCAGTTCACATTTTAACCTTGTCTCTTTCTCATGTCTCCCTCCAGTCGTCCAGCTCGTCCCAGGAGCGCCTGCACCAGCTGCCCTTCCAGCCAACCATGGATGAGTTGCACTTTCTGTCCAAGCACTTTGGCAGCACAGAGAGCATCACGGACGATGACGGGGGTCGACGCTCGCCACACGTGCGCCCTCGCTCGAGGAGCCTCAGGTGAGGGCACGGATAGTTTTTTAGCCAATGAAGACCCCCCCACCCCCCAAGCATCTAGCCCAATCACAGTCAGATTTTTGACATGCAGTTCATCCCTGAGAGTCATATTAGGACATTTGCTGGTTTCTTCTATTCTGTGGCTTAGCAGAGTGGCACAGAACAACTTTTGATTATTTAAAAGGATTGGTCAAACCCTTTTTTGTCAGTAGTTGATTTGTGGAGATTGGTTTGTGAAGCAAAATAACCAAAATGCAAAGCTGTTTCGAAAGGACATTGGGCATCCTTTTAAGATTATAAAAGGGGCATCCTAATTATTGTGCAGGAACAACTTATTTCTGTCATGAGATGTAGAGGGCTCTCAGTCTGTTATGCAGAGTGCAAGCCTTTCTGATGCTTAGCTTGTATAATTCACCTGCTGTGCTGTACGCTTCATTCTCTGCAGATGAATTTCAGTTTGTTAACTCTGTTTAGTCACTGACAGTATGCTTTTAAGGATTTCTAAGCAACACTGATTGAAATAACGTCCTTCCTGCTTGAGTAACTCTATGTCTCTGGATTTACCCCCACTGTGTTTAGATCATATACTGGTATTACAGTATAGATTACAGTTTTTCACAATTGCTAAAACAAAAAACCCCATTCTCTGAACCAAATTCTCAATAGTCTAAACCAATTTGTCGAATAAATCACTCTTTCTGCAAAACCTTAAACAGGTTTAGGCACTTAGACTCTGTTTGCAAATCTCATGCACTCTTTTTGCTAAACTCTAAACACATTCTCACTCACTAAAACACAATT